ATGAGTCAACTTGTGGTGAAGATAAAAATTTCGTTATGCGTATTATATTCTGGAACTATAAAAACATTATACCATTAGTTGCTATAGCCAATCTTGAACATTTACAAAAATGCACTAGCCAGTTTATAGCAGATAATGTTCTTGCTACTCTTACAAATCATGGACTTGATCTGAAGAAATATTTAACTTGGATAACGGATAACACCACCCATATGTCTGATAACCAAAAAGGTGCAATGGTTCTATTTAATAAAAAATTAAATATAAATGCAATACGAATTGGCTATGGTATGCATATAATGCATATTTTTTTAACATATTTTGAAAAAGCACTTAGAAAATTACCTTTATTGATCAGATTTTCAAGACATCCACTATCCTTTAATTTATTATACCTTGTGTAGCTACTTCACAATAGGTATAATTCAAGTAATAGAGACAACACTCTAAATATAAAGTCAGAATATATTCAAAAACTTTATAATGAGCTATTAGAACTTTATTTCTCACAATATCAATTACCAATCAGAGGACAGTGGGGCTATGAATTACGTACTGCTAAACAATATTTGGATCAGCATGCAGCATATTTAAAATTCACAAATTGGTTTAAAAATAATCATAGTACACCAATATCGTATTTTTCAGATTGGTGATTATTTAGAAAATAGCTCCTAAATAAAAAACTAAACATTCAAGTTCAGTGTTTAATTATATTTGGAGAGCATTTTTATGAACCACTAATGCAATTCATGGTTGAAAAAGATCTAATATCTCATATTAAATTAGATGATAATTTAGTCCAACTTCCATCCGGTCGACACACTTACAAAATGCCTAACAAAGTTAATGAATGGATCAGTTTTTTGAATGATCTTAAAGAAAGCTTTAATTTATTTTTGGCGAATGAATTGTTAATAGCACTAGAAACCCTAAGTAATAATGAATTTAGTGAGCTGTTTGATAGTTTAGAACAAGGTATAAAAAGGCATTGAACATTTTTTAAAATGGATATCTCCGTGGACACATTTGCACTATCAATCTGCCGTTTAGGTAGAAATTCTTGCCATGAGTTTGCGAGAGCATTCTACTATATTGTTTTAGAATCACAGTGGCTTTTGAAACCAACAGAATATGAAATAAAATTAGTACAACAATTATGTGAAGATTTTAATATATCTGATAATATCTTTGGCCTTCAAGAAGAGTTATTGAGTTGCTTAGAATTTAAAGCTGAGTTTGAAAACTTTTGTTTCACTCCAAGCTCTAATATTTATGAATATCCATTATTGTATAAATTTGTTAAAGAACAGATTTATTCTATCATAGTTAATCAACAACAAGTAGAAGGGCTCTTTAATAAACTAGATTTAAAAACTCATCCAAATATGACACTTGACTTGAAGTGAGCAAAATTACAACTTTTATCTAGAAATATAAATGAAAATAATATTACTCAGGAACTTTCAGATATTTAGATTAAATGTAAAAACCAAATACAAAAAAATCATATAGAAAATATAAAAACTCATGGAGAAGAAGAAGCAACTAAAATGTTTTTAAACTTGTTTCAAAATTAACATTAGTCGCATTAGTATTAGGATCTTTGGAAAAAATAAAATAAAAAATATTGGCATTATATTTCAGTACTTATATCAGTTATATGAAATAAAAATTTGATCTCAATTGGTGATCATCTTAAAAAAAAATTTAGTATCCAACGAAGCACCAATAACTTTCGTATCTGGCAGTAAATTTTAATATTCCAGAGCTAGTATATTAAAAATACAGCCAGATACTCGAATTATTTTTCTGGGAAATGATTATCATGCGATTCTACGGATCACATGAAATCATTTATCCAGAAAAATAATTCTCATTATTGGATGCAAAGCATCCAATAACTCTATATTATTATTTTTTTAATTTTGTGTGCAGCAAATGCTTTATAGACATTTTTGTTATGCCAATATATGAGTGTCGTCAAAAGAAAACCCGACAATTTAAATATAGTCTATATTTAAATTGTCGGGTTTTCTTTTGGCGACACGAATATAAAATCAACAAATTTTCAAAAATATTTTTTTTCACACAAATCAAGATTGGACTTAAAAACAAAAGCAGTTGCATTAATAAAGTTTTGTAATATAGCTCTTTAAAGTTTATATTATGATTTATTATAAAATTTGGGTTTACCACAAAATCTTGAAAACCATTTTCCCGAAATAATATAATACCGACTAAATTGGCCGGCATTATAACTAATGCCGGCTAACTTTGTCGATATTGGGTCCTTTCAGGAATCTGTCTTTTGGGATTTTGTAGTAAAACTATAAAATTTATAACATAAAAATTGATCTTCCGAAGATTCTTTGTTTTGTTGATTTCCCCATTTCTGTAGCACCTAGCCCATATATAAACAAAAAAGAAACCATTCATTTTTCATTATAAACATGGCTATATTTAATAGCCGAAGTACACATATTATGAAATGACTAGATTTAGCACGCGCTATTTACTATTTATAGGCAAAAAAGTATTATCGTTATCCCAGAAAATGATATCGCCATAGCACAGCCATTTATATTTTACGATTTTGTATTTAACCAAGAATTTTTCTTTTGGAGAGGTTTTATCTTTTGTCAATAGTTTCGTCAGGAGGCTTCATCTTTCACAGAAGTTTTGTCATTTTAGTCCTTCAGGAGGCTAGATTTCAGTTTTTTGTCATTAGGCGAGACCAATTTGATTTAGTGGTTTACGTTACCCCCCCTCTTTTCCGCCTTCCCCCCTCACTATATATGCGGAAAATTTCAGAAAATTTTTATAATATCGCGGATCATTTCGGAGAAAAAATTTATAATAAACTTCCTCCAGCCCCCTCATTTTTTGTGAGTAGGATGTAACATAAACCACTGAATTAAATTGGTCTCGCCTTAATAGATAATATCATGACGGATTTCTGGAAATGAACCTTTATTTAGTACTAAAATTTATTTTTAAATTTCTAGAAATTTGTAGAAATTAAATACAATTAATTTTCATTATTAGATAAGGACTAATTCCACCAGTCTGATGGAACGGGATCAAGGGACGTGCCAACTTTGTATAGTCAACCCACATCGATATATATATGCACACTATATCATACAGTATTCTAACTCCAACAAGGCTTAGATGATAATAAAACAAACCTAGGGCTTAATTATATTAAAAAGGGAAGCCACGTTTTTCTAAATCATGAATATCATTTGCTTAAAAGCAGAAGTTGGGTAATTTAATATATATACAAAACATGAAGATTGAATCAAAAGAAAAATCATTAGATATAATTATTTCTCCAAAAATGACAGTCGTGGCCGTAACAGTTAACACTAAAAAATATAAAGTTATGGAAAATAGATAAAGTCAAACAAGAGTTGCATAAAATGAAAGATTTCTTGTTTAGAGATAATGAATTATATCCTGAACCCAAAGATAAAGATTCGTATCCTGAACCTCATTTAACGAATATTTCTGATACTAAACATATTGTGCTAACTCTGAAGAGAAATTATCCATATAATTTTGGTAAACAATTTATTAAAGGGTTAATAATTTCATATTTACTTTATACTTAACAATACATTTTTTTCAGAAATTTTTAATTTAAATACAAGAAGAGTGAATATATTAAATGCACCAAATCTTGAGGGCGAAATAGATAACTTGAATTTTCTTGTAAATAATGACTTGATAGTTGTCAAAGGAAATCCGATATTCAGAGCTTACATATTTTCAAATAATGAAAAGGATAATGATAAATGGGATTGCAAAAAAATGATTGAATTAAAATACTTCACTCATAGTCACATAACTTCTAATGGAAAGTTGCTGCTAGAGATTGCTAACATTACTGTTTTGTTGCAATGGAATTTAGAATCACTAATCCTTGAACAACAATACATGCTAAACAAATTTCGATCTCAACTTAAAATCACTTTAAATGACAATTCTACATTGTTAGCGGTTTGCGGATTAGTATACGATTCAGATGATAAATCCTCATATAAACTATTCATTTATTCGGTTGAACTTGGAATATTACTAGCTCAAAGTAAGATTAACGAAGATTAACTAATATGTACTAGTTATCATGAATGATAACTGTACTAAAGACTTGACTGATAACTTAGTTATCCGACATGTCTGACGTGTACAGTAGTGTTACAAATCGGACCAAAAAGTGCAATCGATTAGTTGGCCAAAACCTTTTTTAAAAATCGATTAAAATCGATTATAGCCAACTAACGATTAGTCAATTAATCGATTATTGCGCTTTGGTGACCTCTGTAGATTTTAAGAATCTTACAAATTTCAAATAAATATGAATATAACTGATCGAAAATATGAATTAATAGACAATTTAGAATCTCAGAAATTTTCCTCGTTCATCATCACAGTATGATACTATATAAAACAACTAGTCGATTAGTTAACTAATCGATTAGCTAATCAGTTAATCGATTAATCGTCGACATCGACTTGTTGCCAATTCGATTATAGCGTTTTGCAAAAAATGTGACCCATGATTTTTGTGATGAACGAGGAAAATTTCTGGATTCTAAATTGTCTATTAATTCATATTTTCGATCATTTATATTTACATTTATTGAAAATTGGTAAGATTCTTAAAATATACAGAATCTCCGATTTTCACACGATATTGTGATCTTCAGAGGTCACATCTTTTTGCAAAGTTTCCGTGTAACTTATTCGATCAAATATGCAAATATTCACTCACCTCGTACGTACATAAAAGGTGAGTGAAATTTTGTATATTGTATTAGGAAGTTAACGGAATCATTCAGTGACCACATAGGACGTGATAATTTATTTATTATCGTAGTTAATACTTTATATATAGCTTATATATCTTTTTTTCTTTTTAAATTTTTTTTTAAATAGGGCAATATTCTCAATTGCCTGAAATATATTTTATTGGCACTGATGTTGGAGAAAGAATGTTAGTGTTGTGGCCAGTAACAGAAAATAATTATCAATATCAAATAATCGATCCTTATTCTCTTTCTGATTCTATTGATGCCACAAAGCTTTTTGAAAGCGACATTGAAGCAAATATAATCGTTCAATCTTATGCAATACAATCAGATATCATCATTGGTTGGTCTAAAGATGAAGAGAACTTGTATATGCAATCATTGATACAAGAAAATTGGATTAATTATCTAAGAAATTTAAACGACTATAGTAATATTGGCTTTCCGTACAGAGTTTCACGAATCAAATTAATGATAGATGATATAATTAACGAATATAATAATAGTAATGGGCAAAAAATCAATTTTCCAATAAAGCCTTCATATGATGGTACTTTATATAAATGGGTGATTAAAATTGATGATAATATTTCCTTAATAGCACATAAACAAATTAAGTCTAAAACACAGGAAATGGATTATACGAAAATTATTTTTTATTTATTTAAAAAGGAACTAAAAAAATATACTGAAAGAATAATACTGAATTGTGATCTGCTTGAGAATGAAAATTTAGCAATGATTACGATTTTTGGAATTTATATATGGGCAATAAAATCAAATGGAATCAGATTACATTATTTCTGGAATGAAGAAGTAAAACGCATAGATTATGAACCTCAAAGTATAATAAATATGCTACAAGAGTTTTTACGTTGCTGCGAAAATTCTATTCTTCCTACGATTCAATTTGACTTGCTTATAAGGGATAGAATCAAGAGATCTAATGACGTAAATTATTTGAGTTTAGATGATTCTAGAGAATTATTAGAGGATTATAAACATGATAAAGTATTTCTCGCATGCTACGGAAAGCGATTGCTTGAGAAACTGATAGAATATAAACAGGATGAATTAATCGAAGATATAATTCAAAGATGCATAGACTTAAGTACTAAAAATATCAAAGAAGGTTTTACTGCAAATATTGAATTATTAAGTGTCATTACTTCATCGTTTTCAGAGTTATCTCAAAATTATGAGCCATATATTTCAAATTTTTTATATCAGATCGCTTTTGTCGTACCCCATTACATTAGAAGATTCTTAATCAAAAGTGAATCCATTTCTTCACATCTTCATCACTATGGGAATTATGTTCAGATATTAGAAACGACGTTCATTGATATTACCATTTCTTGGCTCTTACGTTATCTCCAAACATTTATTGAAAAGTACAATCAAACATATAACCTCATTTATAGGCTCGAACCAAAACCAACTATTCAATTAATGGTTCCTCTGCCAAATTTTATAACCTATTCGTATCCTTACGATCCTTTAATAGATGGGGTTTATCCTACAACCAGTTCATTTACAAAATCAAAGAATATTGATTTGTATAGGCTATGGATTGGTGAGGTTATCCTTGGTTTCAAATGGAATACATACGGAAGGAAATATTATTTAGTTATTTGGTTAATATATACTATTTTTCTTAGTTTCTTTGTGATTACTGCGATTTTCTGTAATCAAATTTCATGGAATTATCAACAATTTCTGTTAAAATGTGTAATTGTTCTGGGCTTTGCCATTTGTTTTTTGAAATTCGTCAATTTATTTTTTCACCGTTTTCTTATCTTACTAGTATTTGGTATGTATAATACTGTAAATGATTTATTTTAATTTGTTGTTTAAGTACCGATTTTTTTATTTTATAGACTTTAGTGCGATTATGTTTCCAATTTTCACATCCTATATATGGCTTAAAAATGAATCAATTCCAATACGAGAAGCTACAATATCAACAATTTTACTTGAATTAAAATTCTTACTTTACTTTCGCGCAATTTCTTATTTTGGGATTTATTTTGCAATGATAATTGGAGTTGCCCGCAAGGCATTTTCATTTTTAATTATTTTAGGATTTATTATGTTTGCATTTGCAAATTCCTTATATCTTTTATTAAGACCAACTACTAATCATTTATCAGATACATCAAATCACTCAAGTGATTATGATACAAACACAGTTACATTCGGAACATTTCAGAATTCCATTTTGGCCACCTATCTCATGTTATCAGGGATGTTAAACATATGAAATTATACTGTATTAATTTGTTATTTTATATCTAAGTTAAACGATTTTGTTTTTATTATAATCAAAACAGAAAGTTCAATTTCAACATGGATTATACCAGAAAATATAACTTCCATTATTTTATTATTGGCATTTTCGTTTATAACCATTTATTTAATGAATTTATTCATCGGCTTACTCAGTAATGCAATTAATGATACAAATAATAAAGAATCATTCTTAGTTTTAAGGGCTGAGGTTAGTATTTTTTTGAAAAAATTTTTGTCAGGATAAAAATTAATTTCATATTGTATATAATATAGGTTTTGACCGAAATTGAATTATTTTATATGCTACCTTATCAAAGAAGAAAAAATAATTGGTTTCCAAAAACTATGTAAGTTAAATTAATAATAAATGTATTTAATATTGCGATAATTACTAAAATTTAATATAATGACTTAGAGTGAAATTTTAGAGTAGGTTTAGTATTAAAAAAATTGTAATTAATGCATAATACACGAAACCTTGCTGATAAAAAAAAAAAAACTTATGGTAGTTGTGAAGAGTGTATAGCTAAGTTATTTACAAAAACATAACATCAAATCTTATGTAAGATTGAGAATATACATCAGCGAAATAAATTAACGTAAACTTATGCAAGTTATTACGCCCCCCAAAATATTGCACAAAAATTAGGGTCTGGGCATAATATTGCACAAAAAATTGCGAAAAATTGCACAATATATAGCATAATATTATGAAATATATTACGCAAAATTAAGAAACTTGTAGTGCAATATTATGCTACATATTGCGCAATAATTGAATTATTTTGAAACAATTTGAAATAGATGTAAATGTATCAAAACAGCAAAATATTTATAATCTAATAGATAGCTACTTATGCGTAAGAATTGCTAAACTAATTGAAATTATCAAAAACTATTTGATCATTTTCGGGGTATTTCGAAATATTTCGAAATAAATTAAATAAAAATATGAATAATAGGAAATATATTTAAATGCAATAATTATA